AGATTATAGAGACACCAGACAAAAAATGATGCAATGATGTGAAAGCTATAAATAATACAGGTATACCAAAACCAATCTTTTCTTTTATCCAAATTTACATTTAATTACTTTTTAAATCAATATTTACAATTATTACCAGAAGGATATCAGTACATGTACTTGACAATATATAAGTACACTTGTAAATAAAAGGGAAGAACGCAATTAAAAAGAACCGAATGGAAATCCATTATATTTATTCGGAATGAATTTATTGTTAACACTTCGATAAACTTTTGGAATATTGAAGCAGGTCAGCAAACAGTAATGCAACAGTAAAAGTGTAGCAGAAGAATAATTCTCATATTGGTCAGGAGAAAATGATGGCGGTCCTAAGCACGCCGTACTGACTGATTGTTCTCATTGATGCGCGATCTCTCCTGGGAGAACGGGAAAAGAAAATTCACGGAGCGATCGCGGGCGTGAGTGAAACTGTGGAGTTATAGAGAGTATACTGCCTCCACTCTCCTTGACGTGTCATAGAAAACAAGGCACAGTTCTAGCGGACGCTCGTTTCATTCAGTATTCATTTCGTTCTCACTGTCTAGTTGCGTTTTCACCAGAGAGGATATTACGCGATTTGGCGGCATTACTATGCGATGGAGCGGAATAACGAATTTCCAGAAAGGTATGCAATGGCGAGAAGAAAAGAAAACACTTTTATTGACTATCGAGAATCTACCAAGTAGAACGTAAATAGTCAGATGGAAATAATGAGAGAATGGGTTATGTACTCGACTATAGAAAGAGGTTAGAATGAGACAAATACGCATAAGCAGGACGTAGGAAGATAAACGAATGAGCGTACAATACAGAATTATGCAGATGAGAGAGGTGTAATTTCATCAGGTATAATTAAGAAAAACGAGGAGGTGAGGAGCGCCGATGATGTTGATGCCATTAAACTTCCTCTCACCAACATTCTACGTATAATGAGCTGTTACGCCATATACGTGATATTACCGTAGGATACGCAGGGAGGAATATAAATACGACGCGGTGGATGATGCAGGAAGCGTTAATAAAAGAAAAAAAGAAGAAAACAAAACGTCCTTTGCGGTGGATCGATTGAACGGTTATCGATAGCTCTTTAAACGAACCGTTATTAGTCGATCAAATTGCCTTGGGTTCATCCTTCCTATAATGTTGATTTATTCTCTTTCAAATCATTCCAATCTTCAACCTTATGTGATCTTCAACAAGTATACACACACTTTCAATTTCTTTCAACGATCGTATCAATAACCTCCTTGCTAGCCTTCGATTGCTCTTGTAATTATCGACAACTTCTCTATAGAACACTAATACAATGATTCACGGAATAGCGTTTCAGTGAGAAAAGTCGAAAGCTCGATGCACGAACCGCGCAGTAGCTTCACTAAACCAACGAGAAACGTCCCCTGATAGAATCTTCCTACCTGTTGAATATTGTCGACGAAGCTTCCAGCTGATCCTTGAGTCACGCACACACAAAATCACTGCACCAAGAAGGCCGCAGATCTCAGATGATATACCTAGGACTTCGTCTTTGTCGGCCAAATAAAGAAACAACAGGACTGTTCGATTGACTTCAGTCTTGCGTGGTGACACATACGAAAAGGAGACGTGTGTTCACCCGATCAGTAAACCACGATGATTCACTGGGCGATCGAAAGATACGACTTTAAAACCGACCCATTTCGATGTATCAAACGATTAACTATGACGGCAAACGATAAGATCATTCGAGTTCGACAGGTGCTAGCTGTGCACAAGGATACGGCAGCAAACGAGAAGGATGCGACGGGGCCACGTACCAGACTGACTCTAAGAGACTCGGCTCTACTCGACTCGACTCGACTCACCTCGACTGCCTGGCATTGCAAAGCAGCCGCGAGCGAAAACTCCACTTTACGCTCTCGCACGGCCTCTTACGTTTGCCCCCCCCCGCCATATTACCGACTGCTTGCTTTCTTAAGGCTGCCTGCTCGCTCGCCTGAATACCTGCTGTATACCCCTTCTCACTCACCGCGCTGCGGTGCCGTACGGCGGCCTGTCGTCTCTTCTTACGTTCTCTGGCTCCCTCTGACAGAGGCCGCATGACATTCGGGTCATCGATTTGTCTTAAATTTTCTGGACACAATGAAGGTGATTGAAAAGAAATTTAAGTTTCTTTATTGTTTATTTTTTGTTCAAATGTATTTAAGAAAGGAGTCAATAAGTGTATTATACAGTAATATAAGGTTATGTCGAGAATATCTTATTAGTATTGAAATTCATTGTGTTTACATTAAGTATCTGTGAATAATTAGAAAAGAATGTTGCCTTCGAAGAATGTGTATGCGTAGGAGATGTTTCTAATGCTATGGATGCTTTTCTTATAGATACATCTAGTGTTTTACTTAATTGGTATGTAAGTTTCCAATATTTTAATTAATTAATAATTACCGACATGGCAATACTTTTTACAATCTCACAAACAGCTCGAGTTGAACAATTTTAAACAAATTTTGTACATTATACGAATATAACCTTAACATAACCTTGACCAACATATTGCATGCTCAAATTTGGAAATCATAACTGTTGTCACCGAGGTTATCAACTTACTTTGCAAGCTGTCGAAACTCTCTTATCTGATTCTTATGGATTCAACATGGTATCAAGAAAAATACATGGCTTAAAAGAAAACAACATTCTGCATAATTACGATTATGTTCTGTATCAAGACTATTGTTAAAAATAACCTACCAATTTGCCGCCAGGGTGCATAGAATGCTGTGGTATAAGATGATTATGAGAAATTATGGAAAACATTGTAACTTCGCGATGAAGAAGAAGAAAACAAGGATCTCCCGCGAAATTATACTTGCTCAACGAGTTTACATTTCTAGTCACGAAAAATTTATGCAATTTAGCCTTCGCGGCGAATCAGTATTCCGATATCGTCGATCTATTGGGAGTGGTACTCTTCGAATGGAAATTAAATTTCATTCAGTTGGTTTAACTCGCGTAGTAAACGTGCTCGTCAAGCACGAATTAGAGCTGGTGTTTATACCAGAGCCTGTACATTTTAACTTGTAACGGCAAGAGTAAAACCTCTCGATCGGAATGGAAAGCGAGCTGCTCGGGCACGCGGTGGTCTACAGCTTGATAGAGTGGTGTTCATTCGCGCCTTAGGCTGCGTACAGACTGGCAAACAGGTCTTGTGCACTGTCCCTGGTAAAAGTTTGTTACCAAATGATATCGACATTTTGAAGAGTTCTAAATTCTTTCAGGGAAACTGTTGTCTATGGGATATATTAGTATTTGAAAGCACGGAATCCAATATTATAAGGTAGAGGAACGTGAAGTATAAGAATTTTAGTTTCCAGAATTTCAAGAATTCATATTAAGGAATTCGACTACCAAAGAGTAGAGATGACGCACAGGCACGAGACTTCGATGTTAAAGGATATAAAACTAGGTAATTAAGAAATATAACAATTCAGAAGTTCAAAAATTGACAAAATTCAAAATATCTGGATATTAAAAGTTTAAAATTTTCAGAACTTAGCAATGAGAAGAATTTCGCTATTCAAGAATCTCTACAAATCAAAAATCCAATGATTCAAAGAACAAAAAGAATTCAAAATTTGAACATCCAGATTAACTTAAGAATAAAAGACTCTAAATGGTGTCAAGAACCGACAATCTAATAGTCGAGGAATTCAGAAATCCGTAACGGCTCTATTGCTCAATACCTAATCACACAATTAATTTTCTGCCCGCATGTGTAGATGCTAACTCATTATAGTAAATGGTCGATCTGTAATCGAAACGGTTTTATGTGTGGATAATTTTTCACGAACTATCGTATTGAAAATGCTTAATTACTGAATCACCAGCAAGATAATATTTTGCAACATATGATTGGTAGAACACCGGCTGTACATAAGTCATAGAGTGAATCCAGTTTATCGTGAATTATTTATCATTCCAACAATATTCGTATAAGATGTGTAATCTCAATTACAAAAGCTACCCTGCTTTTAGCCAAAACCATCCATGTATGGATTCCAAATGCTTAATGAACAATGAAGTCGTTTTAACTCTTAATTTCACACCCCAAAGTAGGTGTATAAGTTAAAGTTAGATACTTGGACAGTATCGAAGAATTGTCATGATGAATTACCATTGTCAAACATACGCCATCCAGAAAACGGAACAAGATCCGATATACGTGCTCTTTAAGATCGGTTTCCAATGCACAGTCACAGTAGAAGCGTGAACTTTGTCAGCTTGCTTGTCCAGAAGGAAGCAAACAGATTTCCCGGTACGTAGCCATCATGAAGGAACTAAAATCAGTAGAGAACCGACTTGGAGGCCGACGTACTCGGAGTATCTCCGTGGCTGTCCTCGAAGCAAGCCAGAGAGCCGGTCAGAGGGAGAGGCCGCATTCCAATCCATGGAGAAAGCCTCTCGCGCATTTAACTGCGGGATGACCGTCTAGAGGTCGCGTAAACGAGCTTCATGGACCCGTTAATTCGATTGATATTCCTAACCTAAAATTATCTTCTTCGATTCATTTTTTCTAATTCTTTTCTGTAGGTTTGCAAGTGGAATCACTGACCTGACATACTTAGAATGACTTCTGTTACGTTTCTACGTTTCACTGAGCGATTATGGAATTTAGTGTGTTCAATATTAACATTATATTTTGTTATTGTTATTGTTACCATTATAATGCGAGGGCAGTGATTAACATCTACTACATAAAAAGACTATGAACTATAGACACTGCAAAACACTTATCTCTTCAAGGCTACTATTCCCACTATTTATCCAAACGATGCTTCCATTGAACAACATGTCATGTGCAAATTTATACCTCTGCAAGGATAGTGATGCATATTTTCTCTCAAAAATATACACATTTCTAATAAAAACAAGGTAAAAATAAGACATGTTAATATCATTAATATTCCCAATTTAATTAATTTTCCAAATAACAAATTGTAATAGTTTCAACAAATTTTCGCGTTTGTTCCCTTGCTATTGAGAGATCATCGAATAAATTAGCGTTTTCTTAATGTAAAATGTATCTAAACTCGACTACAGCGAATACCAATCGATATTTCAGGTCTTTAATAGGGTGGAAGAAGACCAAAACTGAAACGACTGGTTCAGCTAGATCCCGTTGGTTCCACTTGTCACGACGAAGAAACGTTTGGATTCAAATCGGGGAAAGTACGAAGCTGAAACATTTGAGGACGTTCGGTACACCTGCCACAAGGTGACTGCATTCCACGGCGTGGTGAAACGTAAGCAGCCGGGATCCGCACTGGAATGTATGTCGGATTTGCTGGAATACTCCACGAGCCGCTAGCAATACGCCGGCCAATTATATGTATCTCGCTGCCGTGTGCGCAAATCGTTTGTTTTTGCGCAGGTCGGCCTACTTGCGTCGCGTATGATTAACTTGCACGATTCAGCCTCTGACACGCTCTTGCTGTCTGTGAAATCGACCATTGTCGGCCTGGTGAAATTTTCGACACGTCTTCGTGCAACGAACAGTACCGTCATTTCTCGTCTCTGCTCCTTCGACTTACACTGACCACCGTTTCTGGAACAGAAATAGATTTTTTCTTTTAAAACGATCATCGTTTTCTCCTGTCTGGTTGGTACTTTTAATGTTTTATGTATTCCTATTTTTTTAACTGTATCTTCTCATGCATTGCTATTAATTTAGTTACTATTTACGACCTTTATGCTCATCGCGATCTGTGTTGCATTTCAGAATGATTTCTCCTGTCCTCCACTCGCAGCATCTGTATATACTCATCAGCTGTGGAATGTCTGAGTAAGGTGATCTTATAATTTCATAATTCTTTAGCTACAAATTAAATTAGTTATCGTAAAATATCTTAGTGTTCAGAAGTTTGTTTTATTATTGTACTGAGGCTGAGAGTGTAATATCATACTGAAATTTTCTTCCTCAATTTTCAGTTCGAAGTATCTCATAGGAATTTCCATACAAAAGCTTATGTTCTCAATGACAAACACGACACAAGTACCACGAAGGGCAATTGAATTCTTTGTACTCACGCTCTCGTGGTCGGATAAGCGGGTTTCTTGACACCGATGTTGGCTTTACTTGTGATTCTTGATGGAACGTCTTTTGGGCGTATCCACAAAGCATCCAGCATCCATGGAATGGTCGGAAATTCAGTGGATAGAGGTGGCTAGGTAAGAATACGTTCTCTTTCCACGCCGGTCGGCGTGACTTGTGCATGAATCAGGCTCCATGTAACGGGAAATCGAGATTTCATTCAAGCCAGTGATCTAAACAGGATGAAACGCATGAAGAATGGCGAGGATTCGCACTAGATATCAGAAATCACGCTATATTCCACTTTCAATAATGCATTCAGGTTCTAATACAACGGACAGGAATTTCTTTTTCATTAAATTCTCTACGGAACCTGAAGCGATATCTTGAAGTTCCTTAATGGAAAGGGATGATAAAGGGAAGAGGTACGCACATTGTAAGTATAGTATTTTAAATGTAGTTTATCACAATTATTTTTGCTCACCTAATATTGCAAACCATTTTTATCATTTTACAAAATTAATAATGAAATCTTTGCATTTCAGAAGAAATATTCCAATACCATTCATATATTACAGCAAACAATGGTGTAATGATACAATAAATAAAATTGTTGAGAAATATGATCATATCAAAATATGCATGATATAGTATATGAAATATAATACATATGCAACAAGGAAAAATTTGTATTATGATTCAAAAGTTCCCCTAATAATTCGTATTTTGCTGAAGAATCCGATAACACGCACGATTTCATGAGAACTACAGCTTTAAAACTTTCGTACATTTTATTCTGTCTATCATCATATCTTTCCTGTATCTCTCTTCGCAGAGGGATAAATTCTTAATGACTGTAGTTTGTTTCGATGAGCCAAACTTGCTCGAAGTAAGAATCTTCGATCAGATAGTTTTTAACGTTACATAAATTGGTGTGGTAATGTGCTGTAGGGGCTGAAAGGAATGTCCCCGAAGAGTACCACGAGGTAAGGGAGCAGGGCCCCACGATTCCGCTTATGGAAAACGTTTTCATGAGAGTGTCGTTATTAAGCATCGACGAAAATGCTAAATGTATATGAAATTGCAAGCAGTTGCGTATACGTGGCTCAATATTATGGCCAGTGGGTCTGCCGTTTCTTCCACGGCCACTCTTTTCTACATTCCTTGGCACACGAACACCATGCACGCTCGTGTACCCGTTACACCTTTTTTGGCGAGTTTAGGTTAAGAGATAAGCCAAATGGAGGAGTGTATACAAGAAGTCGATTTGCCTTACCCTGCTGTATGTAATATATAACAAATAAAATATATATAATAAACGAAATATACGTAGAGAATTCAGATATTATTGAAATTTGTTGAAAAATAACGAAGATTTCAATAAATATATACGTACGCAATGATAACAATATAATAATCGCAAAATTATACAAAATTCCACTCAATCTCTTATAATCTGAAACCACTTCGTAATTCGATTTGTAAGTACGAATCACTTTTTAATATACAGTTCTTAAAAAATAAACTGCCATCTACTCGGCATGTAATACTCGCTTTAGTAGAAAATACGTGGAAAATAAAAATATTTTTACATATATATACGTATCATGGAAGTTTATCACATGAAAGTGCGGATGCAATTATAGTTCATAAAAAATGCATAAATTGTGAAACTTATTAATAATAATAAATTGTTTACAACGTCAGTTTGTAATAAAAGTTAAAAAAATAATAAGTTTTATATAATAAACTGGTTAATACTTGAATTTATAACATAATTTTGTTAAAATGTATATACAATTTAGAAAAAATTTATAAATTACTACCCTGATTGTTAATAACAAATAAATATTGTTAATAACAAATTGTACACAAAGTAAATTTATAATACAAGTGGAAAAATTCCTAAATTATAAGCTATTACTAGTATATATATAACGTATTTGCTTGAAAATATATCTATAATTAGCAAAAAGTTAATAAATTGCTACATTTATTGTTAATAACAAATATTTTGCAGCGTATATTAACGATAAATGTAAACTGAATTAATAAATTATTGGCTACTACTTAAACAAGCAACGTATTTCTACTAAAATGTATTCGTAACTTACAAAAAGCTAATAAATTAATAAATTTATTGTCAATAGCAAATTAAAATTGTTGTTAACAAATTGTTTGTAACGTATATTAACGATAAAAGTCAAAAAGTTATTAAATTGTTAGTTATTACAGCGAAGAAGTAACTTTTAAAGGAATCGATAAAGTTCGGAAATTTTCGTCGATCTTCGCCCAGCCGCCGCTATATAAGGGGCCCGCGTGCAGACTCAAGCCAGTTGTCGCTTCGACTTCGGAGGGTGCGTGTTAATATTTTTTCTTTTTGTTTCAGGTTTTAATTATTTCTTCTTTCAGATTCTATTTCTTTTATTTTAGGTTTCATTGTTTATGCATTCGAGTATTTGTTACAATATTCGAATGTTTCGTCGTTGGTTTATTTGTATATCATCGTTGGCTAGATCAATGGCTATTCAGTGACCATTGTCCACTCTCTTGAATAATTTAATAATAATTCCTTCTTTCAGGTAATAATTATTTTTTCTTTCAGGTTTTAATTATCTTTCTTCTTTCAGATATTATTTCTTTCATTCTAGTTTTTATTGCTTGTGCATTCGAGTATTTCATACAATATTCGAATGCTTCGTCGTTGGTTTATTTGTATATCATCGTTGGCTAGATCAATGGCTATTCAGTGGCCATTGTTCACTCTCTTAAATAATTTAACAATAATTTCTTCTTTCAGGTTCTAATTACTTTTCTTCTTCCAGATTTTACTTCTTTCATTCAATTTGTCTCTTTGTTTCAGCATTCGAGTATTTCGTACAATATTCGAATGCTTCGTCGTTGGTTTACTTATGTGTCATCGTTGGCTAAATCTTTTCTTTCACAAATTTTACGACTTTCGTTCGATTTGTTTTCGTTAGAGCGTTCGAGTATTTCGTATAATACTCGAGCGCTTCCTCGTTGGTATGTTTATATCTCACCGTTGGAATGTTTCTGTCTCGTAGTTATGTTGCTCAGGTCTCGTCGTTGGCTTGCTCGTTCCATTTGGTTATTATCCTTGATGGTTTCCTCGTACTAATCCCTTTCCTTTCAGCTACATATTAACAATAATATATTCTGTTTTAGCTTTTAGGTTTCTCAAGATTCTGTTTGCGACACATCAATGAACGATGCGTGCGTTTACTTTTAAGTAATCATAAGATAGATCCATAGACTAAGTATCATGTGCGCGCTATCTGTACAAAGGTAAGCTACCTAACTTGCAGCGAAATTTATAAATTCTCTATCATTTTCTTATCCCCCCCGTTTAGCAAATAGAACATAATTGTTCTCACGATAATCGCGATCGTTCGTAAGTTCCGACTAGCCTACGCGACGTGCTCTCGTGTACTCGATAAGTACATGCTTCGTAAGTCATCCTCACGACTCGTCTCCGACACTCATTTCCAGTCACTGTCAATCTCGTCATGCATCGGGTTCCAGGGTGACCCCCTCGAATCAGTGCGTCTTCTGACCTCGACGGGGCGGTCCGCTGCCTAAGTCGTACGCGACTGGGGCTCGGGCACATGCTGGCTGACGGACTAGTACCATCTACGGTTAGACCACAGGGATGATTAAGTTCTACCCCGTGTGGCTGGGATGCGAAGTGTCTGTCTTGGCCGGCAACCGCCCAGCAGGGCCCTCGCGTTGACACTAGAAGTTTCATTGGTTCAGGGACTATCCTTGGTCCACGTGTAAGTCTTGGCGAGTGCGACAGTGACTGGAATTGAGCTAGGCCCGATCGGGAGGGTGCCGAGGTATGAAGTTATCTCTGTACACGGGAGTACATCGCCTAGGCTAGTCGGTCTTTCGAATAATCGCGAACTCGTTCGGGCGCGTCGCGATTTTCTATTAGCTCGCGTGTTTGATATTTCATTCCCTATTTTTATGGGAACTTGAAAATATCTTAGCGTTGCGACAGTAGAGTTTCAGTATACCGAACCGAAACCCCTTTTGTAAGACACGAAATATAATAAAGTGTCAGTAGAGTCATTTTAACTTAATTCGCTCCAAGTTAGATTAGGGTACCTTTGATACAGGTAGCGCCAGCAGGCTGCGCCACTAGGGCGCATGTCGGGTCTCGATGCGTAGCCACCTCCACGTGGTGAGACCTGGTAATTGGTATCGTTTTCCAAAAATTAATTTAATTAAATTAATTAATTTAATTAATTTAATTAAATTAATTAAATTAATTAAATTAATTTTTGGAAAACGGTACCAAGCTAAGAGCTACGCACCAAAGTTTAAGATATTTCCTATCTCTTGTAAATTTTCAATGTTCCCTTTGGAATTCGAAAATAGAGACTGGGCATTATCTGTTTAAATGATATTTAAATGAAAAGGAATTAAGGAAAAGAATACAAGTAAGGGAAGGTAAGTATAACGTAAGTATAAGGTAAGTAAAATAATTAAAGTGTACCGCGATGCAGAAGAAGTAAAAGTATATAGTCCACAGACTATGGGATCGGCCGGGGAGTTTTCGGAGGGAATAGGTCGGGGAGCAACCTCCTATTATGTTATGTTACTCTAATACAAAGTCATAAAATTGGCCGAAAATTTCTCGCCAAGGCTGCAAAAGTATTGTCCAAGAAATTCTAGGAAATGACGCCACTTCTCGGAACTTGTTCGATGATCGACCTCCTGTGATGTTATATATTTCTAATACAAAATCGCGATATGGGTCAAAAATTTTGCGGCGAGGCTGCAAAAGTATTGTTGAAAGAATTCTTGGAAATGACGTAATTTCTTGGAACTGTCTCGGCGAGCGACCTCCTTTCATGATATGTTATCCTGATACAAAGTAGTAAAATCTGACTGAAATTTCTTCTAGGACAATACTTTTGCAGCCTCGATAATAAATTCCGGGCGAATTGTAGCTATTATGTATCAGGATAACATAACGCGATAGGAGGTATTTCGTGGACAATACTTTTACTGTCTCAACGAGAAATTGTCGGCCAATTTTTGCTACTTTGTATCAGGATAACATAACGTGAAAGGGGGTTGTTCGTGAAGAATACTTTCGCAGTTCCGACGCGAAACTCTCAACCAATTTTTACGATTTTGTATCAGGATAACATAACGTGGAAGAAACTCTATCACGGAGGCAATTCCCAGAATTGACGTCATTTCCAAGAATTCTCGGTTAATACTTTTGCTGTTTTTGGCCAATACTTTTACTGCTTTGGTGGACAATACTTTTGCCGTTTTTGGTCAATACTTTTACTGCCTCAGTGGACAATACTTTTGCCGTTTTTGGTCACTACTTTTACTGTCTCGGTGGACAATTCTTTTGCCGTTTTTGGTCAATACTTTTACTGTCTC